ATATTTTCATGCATAGGTTTATGAAATCAACGTGTAAATGTGAACATCGAACTTAGAGTGTTAGCTATGTAAATACATAAGAATTTTGTGTTATTTAGGCACATTTTTCTAAATATTTACCTTATCTTGTAGGCTACTTGTAAATGTGAACATCGAACTTAGAGTGTTAGATATGTAAATACATAAGAATTTTGTGTTATTTAGGCACATTTTTCTAAATATTTACCTTATCTTGTAGGCTACTATAGTATTGTGTAATATCTTTTCATTTGGTGCAAGTGAAAAAAATAGTAAAGATACACTTTAAAGATTAAAGTTCTAGCCATCTATATTCTAAAAATGTGAAGTTGGCAAAAAAAAAAAAAAAAAAAAAAAAAAAGCAAAAAAAGCTATAACACTCAAATTTATTTAAATATATATGAGTGGGTCTTTTTTTTGAAAATTGAACCATGGAGCATATCCCTTTGAATTAGTCGATTATAAGACCATATCAAAGAGCACTCAACTATTTAAGATAAATTACATATATGTGTGTGTGCGCGTGCGCGCCGTGTTCCCTACTCAGTTAGCAGACCATCCATTTTGGCGGTGTATGTCCCCTATGCACGAATCCTGCCAGACGAGTTGTCCGCTATATGAGGTGGTACGAGTGATCAGGCACATGGGTCCAACCCAGACCAGACATGTTGCGAGCCGGGCGTGGTTGGTTGTTCCACCCATCAATCATCTTTATATAATTTGTACGTGTGTGTATGTGCGCGCACACGCGTGCCGCATATCCCGGCCTATTGGTTGACATCCACGATATATGACCTATCAGATCATGGGGGTCGAATCCCGTCGCTCTGTCAGTTTAGCAGCCTCATATTTTTCCAGCAATATTAAAATAAAGCTAGAATCCTACAAATCATCCAAAGGCAGAAACATTTGTCTCTTCCACGCGCTAACTACATTAAAAAAAAAAAAAAAACTTAAACAAAACAGGAAGAAAATATTTAAATTATCCAGAAAATAGAAGATGCCAATAAGAAGGGTATGATGAACGCGGCCTGCCAGTTTCAGGTTAAGCAAAAAGGATTGCGACCACCTTTTTTTTTTGGATTTTTCGAAAGAGTTTCATCTAAAGATTGTTCCTTTTCTGCTAAATAGTTTCTCACATAACCTGCAGGAAGTATTCTTCTTCTTATAGAGCCGTTGAGTTCAGGGGCATCATGTCTGTAAGTAGATTTTATTTCATCGTCCTCAAATTTAAGAAAAAGAGAAGTTTTAATTTCTTGAAGTTTGTGTTCTGTAACAGCTTAAAAATCATGGTTTTTTAGATTGTTTCTTCTTTACTGCTGAGTGGTACCATCTGCACCTGAGTTGAATGATAACTCATGAAGATGGTTTAAGTTTTTTTGCCTGAATTTTTCAGATTTTAAAGGGTTTAGGTGAATTTCTTTAATCATGGTGAGACTATTTATTCAATTGATTCTCTTTGGGAAAATTAGCAGAAAAATGGAAGCCATTTTTTCTGTAAGAAAGCTTCAACGAAAGAAAGATGAAAGGAGAAAAGCGAGGGGAGAGGAATGGAAGAGGGAGATTTTGAGCAATAAATTAAAAATTTATCTTTTTTATTTTCACCTAGATTGAAGATCTTCCATTAATCTCTTTTCAGAGATGAGGACATAATCTGCATGTAGATCATGTAATAAAATTCTCTCATCCCTTTGGTGAGGTCTTCTTCTGTTGCATAAAATCCCACCTCCTTATCAAATAAAACTATATCATATAAATCATTATATGGTTAAAAGAGCATCAAGACTGAATATTTCCTTCCAAAATTCATTCTTTGAAATACTGAAATGTCAACTCATTTAAAATTTCACCATTTATTTCACATAAACATTTGCTGAATCTATGATCAGAGTGCACATGTACCCAAATTTGGCAATTGGGACGACAAAGACATTCCATACACAAGATATTTTGAAAATGCTCTCAAATACAGAGAAAAAGGCTTCAATCCTAATGATCCCCAACAGAATCCAGAAGCCTTCATGAATCAACATCAAATCCAACAGCAAAATCTGAGAATAAAACAGAACAAATCTTCTCAGAAAGCGAATACAGATCCGGCGAGAATCAGTGCCAAAATTGATTCATACACTAAAAAAAATAAGTCGAGTTCTTCAGTTTCCCGTCAGCCAAACATGGTTTCTCAATCTTCAAAAGCTCTAATCAATACAGTCTCTTCCTTATCAGCAGATTCTAATGATACAAGACCTGTAAGCATATTAAAAACATCAACTGACTTTGTTTTCTATGTATATAAGTATTAACTTGTTGAATTGATTGATTTTGTTAGTTTCCTCAAAGGCCTGCATATGTTGCTCTATCAAACGAAGGGAAGGAGAAGAAGAAGACTGGCACAAGTAAGTTGTCAAGCGTTCCAACGGCTCCTAAAAACAGAAAACCTATGCGGAGAACTTCATCAAAGGTAACTGGAGATGAAATTGTTTCTCTTCTTCTCGCATCTGAAAACATCCAAAAAATACTGAAAATTGACCATGTTTAATAATTTTTTATTGATCAGGCATGGTGCTGCTTGATTAATAAAACCTGGGAGTGATCATCATACGCTTACTGCAATAATTATATGTATTTTCTTCAGGGCTTTGTGTCATAAACTGGTTTGGAAACTTATGAAGTTAGAGAGCTTCATGCAAATTTCTCAATAAGTTTTTCTTTTTTTTCTTTTTGGGTTTTAAGGTTGGATCTTGATATTGGTTTGTAAGTTCTTATGATTGAAATAAAGATGGGATCTGTGTTAAATATATATAAATTTTGAAACTTTGTCACCATATTTAAGGTTGGATATTGATAAATGTGAAAAGGTTGTCACCATATTTTGTTATCGTAAGCTGTAAACTAGCAAAAGAGTATTAAAATTTTCAAGCTTGTTTATTTTGCTCTTTTTTGATGTAGGAATGTGAAGCTGAGGGATAAATTGAGCTTTTAATTCTTGTTGAAGTAATCTATAGGGATTGTATACACAAATGCAGTTGTATAATATTTTTTTGTGCATATTTTTGAGCCACCCATCTAAGTGATTGAATCATGCCCGCCTGCCGAAGTGGCTGAATCGAGACTATTTGTCAGAACACCTAAATCGAGCTCACTTGTCGATGTGGTTAAATCGAGTCAATCTGTCAACGTGACTAAACTTATCTCTTTAACCCATAAAAAGTAACCTAGCTCGCCTAGAGAAATATAGCTGTTGATAGCCATCGTTACCATCATGAATGTAGGTTAATCCATTTTTAAAAGCATTGTCTTGCTTTCACATCACAGTCTTTTCATCAAGACACTAGGGATGGGGGTCGTACACATTAAATGTATTTTTTTTTAATTTTTCCTCCTATATAAAAGGAAAGTCAAGCTAAGAGAGGGGAGAGTCTCTCTATCTCCAAGATAACTTTGTAACCCGAAAAACCCTGATGAGCCCGATATTCCGGCTTACCAGAGGCTCGAATTGACTAAATAATCTATGAGACATCTTCACGACCTTACGCCCATCTCTCCCCTCTACCTTTCCTCAACAAAAAAATAAATTCTTCACCGATTTGTATGTACTCAAGAGCGATATGAGACACTAAGTCCTGAAAGAATCCAACAAGAGTCAAACTTAATTAAAAATTTAAGTGAGCTTGTCTTGCTGTAATCAATATGGCCCGATTTGGTCACATAATCAAATTATTAAAATTACTCGTGCATACTGAAACTAGATGTCACACATGGAGTTCGGAAGAGGGTGCATACTCGCGATATGTGATAAAAAAAAAGATAATCTCAACCAGGTAAAAGATCTCAATAATTTATGTCAAATAAAACACTTTTATATTCATGATGAAAGAATTCATTAATGAGTAATTGCAAATAAAGACAAATGGGCATAAATGAGATTAAGAAAATGATATATATTTCTTTGCATAAACAATGTATTTAATAACAACAAGGAAAATAAAAGATCAATTGATGAAAAGAAGAAGATATAAATCAACTACAAAGCAATACTAACCCAAAGTTTGTTAGAAATCTGAACAAGAACAACAAGTTAAAATCTAAACTGATGGAACAACTAATGTTGAATGGCTGCACTTATAATGATGCTCCAACAAATAACATGATAAAATCTGTAAAAAAAAATTTCTAAAGTGAATTTGATATGCAAAATAGATAATTCCTAATTATTAAAACATAAATTACAATGTATGGGGCATGCATTATAAACAATAAGACCGTCATTATCTATAATGTAATGCCAATGCAATGAATGTTATCATATTGTTTGACTTGAGTAATATTGCACGACTTAAATTATTAAAAGTGGCAAATGTCTTGGATTAATGAATCGAAGAACTTTTTTTTCTACACGCTTAACTCAATGTATAATCTTCGATACTACTGAATCGAAGGACTTTTTTCTCAAATCAGACGAACCTTTTTAGTCGCCTAATCAACCATTCTAAGAGCTTCCTCTCTCCAACCACAAATTAACACAAAAGTTATGACTTTTCTGTTATAATGAACCACATACCATGACATGCTGACACTAGATAGTAAACCATTTATGATAAGAAGATTCTATATGTGGAATGGAAGCTTCTCAGTTGCCTCCAAAATAAAAAATAAAACTTTAGGCAAATCTTCTACAGTTAATATAGCATGTTTTGACTTGCCATTTATTTAAAGACAAAATGCAGTGCTGAAAACTAAACTAACCCAAAGTCAGCTTGTAAATTTGTTTCATAGCATTGAAATAAATCTTTTTCTCTCGATTAAATATAATAAGACTGATATTTTGTGTAATTAAATAATTTTATTTATGTATTTTCTTGTTTGTGTTTCTACTATATATATATATATATCTCTGTTTGTATATGTGGACGCCCGCATGCACCTTCTGTGTTTGGTAGAGCAACCTTTCTCTGAAGGTTGTAAGTCCCCTAAGGTTATGAGTTCGAATTCCCCCGTGTGTAGGGCGTAATACTCGAATATTTATCAGACCTAGGGATGGTCAATGCTCGTCTAATAGCCTTTGGTTATTTATTTTATATATATATATAATATCAACCACGACAAAAATGACATCATTAGCCCATTTATATCTATATAAATGAACAACAAGTCTATTGCAATCTTCTTCCAATTCTATCCTAGCATAGTAGAACATTAGCCTTAAACATCTAACATGTCACTTTTGCCTCAGCCCTTTGAGATCTTAATATATATAATCACTCGATGAATAGCATATTTATTAATTTATTTGTTCATTTTTAATCAGTCAAGATGGTCTCACATCAACATGATGCCTTGCATTTGAATTTAGAAAGAGTATACTTCATTGGAAGATTTACATACATACCACTCAATTCTTATGTATTTGCACATCAAACAAATAAAAATGAGTAATTCACTTTTTTAAAAACTTCAAATAGTTGTAGTTTTCATGTGATATGAATGGTTGGGCGCTATAAATATAAAATGCAAAGTTTAAGTGTTGGATATATAAATACATAGGAATTGGAGGCAAAGTTTAAGTGTTAGATATATAAATACATAGGAATTGGATGGTATTCGTGTAAATGCGAGAAGCATCGCATATGATTAATTGATAAGATTCTTATGGTAGAAAACAATCAATACTAAGATTAAACAAAATGACGTATAAGTCTTCGTTTACATGTATACCCAAAGGAGAGAGAAATATATAGCAATTAGGGAAGAAGTCAAGCCACTCTCCTTTCTTTTTATTAGCCACTAGCCAGCATGAAGCTTTCATGAACTTTGTCATATATATATATTTAATTATAGGGAAAAATTGATCAATAGTCACATTAAATTTCACTATTAGATTGTTACCTCTATCATAAATAAATAGATTAATGTTTTAATTTACTTATTAATGCGAACTTAAAGTCAATATTCTAGCAGTTAAGTACTTAGATATAGACAAAAAATGATTAACTTCAATGACCTCGCACAAATCCAATCGCCACAACACTAATTTAATGATATGCCTTTGTTGATTTTTTCATAAATCTCTCTCTATCTTGTGTTTGAGAGAGAGAGAGAGAGAGAGAGAGATTCTACTAATTTATATGTAGAGATTTATGAAAAAATCTCTCTCTATCTTGTGTTTGAGAGAGAGAGAGAGAGAGATTCTACTAATTTAATTCTACTATGTTATATGGTAACTTTTCCAACATACATAAAATATATGTAGTAATATGCTTATAAAAATAATAAAGGGAATTGTTAGATGGCTTGAAACCTTTATAGAACTAGTTAGTTGATTTTTACATTTGAGGATCTTAATTAGCCTTAGCCACTTCCATGCTAACAATATATGCTTGCTTAAACATTTAAGTTGGGCTCTACAAATGCCTTAGCTTGTCTAATTGAATTTGGCCAGGATCAATATAAGTCATGGCCAAACACACAATTGCCCCAAGGTCCTAGTGATGGATATGACTATATTTCTTTGAACCAAGCTCAAATAAATTAACATTAGCATTAATTGATAATAACTAAGTTCTACAAAATATATGTGAGGGCTTAATTTAAATGTCAATAAGATGCACCCAATTTTCAATGAATATATCAAATTTAGGTTAATTAATACTGGTTCAATTAATTAAATCATGTTCATAATATTTTGTCCTTATTCGAGCTTAATTGAGTTCAATTAAGCAAGTTATTTAAGCTTATAACAAAATAATAACAAAAAAGTAATATCTTAGGGATCAAGGCCAACAAACTTCCTCTAATTAATAATGAAATTCAAACTAAACTAAATATTTGTACAATTTTAATAATCGATGGAGTTCTAATTATTAAATTATCTCACTTGCTCTTTTAAAAGGCATTAACCCTAAATTAGTAAAAAACACCACCAATATCTGAATTCTGTAATTTAAGTTTTTGTTAAACTCTTTGTTTAGCCTTATCCACAAGAAGAATATCACCAGCAAAAAACATACACCAAGATGTATCCTCCTGTAAATGTCTAGTACGAGCATCCATAACTAAAGCAAAAACATATAAGCTTAAAGCAGATCCTTGATGTAATCCAACTAAAATAAGAAAATATTAGGTCAAACCTTCTTCTAGTTGCTAAATCCTAAATCCTAAATGCATTCCTCAAAATAAATGAAAAAAAATGAAAAATGAAGACTTGAAGTTACCTTCCTCGATCGTTTCTGGTAGGAGAGGAGCGAAAAGAGGAGAAAAATGAGAGTTTAGCGATCCGTCATTGAGTTCCCCACTAGCTTCTATTGCCACAGTATCGTGATGGTTCAGTGAAGAAGGCAATGGCTTTGGACGAAACAAAGAGGGGGTGGTGGGACATGTGAGGGTTTCGGAGAGAGGAGCAATGTAGGCGAGGCTTCAGGTAGAGGGGGAAAGATTAGGCCAAGGCTGGGAGAGATTAAAATGATTATTTCTAATGGCTTATAAGAAGCTTTAAATCCGTCAGTTCATAACACTATTATTGACGAAAAATTCCGTCGCTTGATAAAAAACACATCGGTTAATCCCTCGTCAGATGACATATTCGAAGATAATCAATGAAATATAGTTGTCAGTTAAAATCTGCTTATAACCTTATTATTATTGATAAACGACTGTCTGTCATATACTTATATTATCACAAATAACTCAGCTGATAAACTATAGCTAAATTGTTGAATAAAAACATATTTTTTTCGAACGCAAATTGTGACCGTCAGCTTTATCATAGGTTTTAGCATTTT